CAGTGATCGGCCTAATGATTATTTCTTTGAAGTCTTCATTGGGGAGTTTAGAAAGATATGTGGTGTGGCTGGAACAACGCACAAAAGGAGAGTATCTGTCTTGCATATGGCCAACCTGGGTTTGATCCGTGACACCCCATGTGTTCCCCCAACCCCCACAAAGTATTAGAAGGAGGAAGGAAGGAAGGAAGGAAGGAAGGAAGGAAGGAAGGAAGGAAGGAAGGGAGGGAGGGAGGGAGGGCGGGCAGATGGGCAGGCAGAGGGAGTCCTTCTAAGACTTTTTTCTTCCATTAATGCAGATTAATTCCTCCTGCTCTTCATTGTTCTTGATGCTTTGTGAGGGCTGTGGGTGGGCTGTCAGTTTCCACAGGCCTTATTAGCAAGTCAGATACTATTACTTTGAAATTGTGTCAACAAGGAGAACTGCTAGGATTTTGCAACCATGAGTATCCTGTAGCAGTTGAAACACAGAGGTTTAGCCGACTTCTACTAAGGAGTTTACAGTTGATTCTTTCTACAGTGTCTATGGTCTCCGTGTCCAGCAGACTTCAGCAACAATTGAATATTTTTGGCACAGGTATCCCAAATAAACTTCAGCATAACGAGACATGGAGAGTTACCAAGGTATTTACATTTTCAGCTCCTGGATTAAACTTCAATGCCAACCACAAGAAGGCTTGGGGAAGGTAACCTCAAAGCTACAATGAGACATTACTTAATGCCAGTATAATAATCTATATCAAATAGTCCATAACCAACAGTGTTTGTATGGGTGTGGAGAAATATGAACCCCTATTTATGTTGAAGTGCAAAATGATCAAGACTCTGTGAAAATTATTATAGGTTTTCTTTAAATTTTTTCAAAATAGGGAACTGGTTACATAGGAAAGGTGGAAAGGCACTTGCCTTGCTGAGAGCAGATCCTAAGTCAGTCACCTGCACCACATCTGGTTCCCTGAGCACTGTCAGGAATAATTACTAATATCCCTAAGCACAGTAAAGTGTGGCCGAATCATCAAAAACCACTTCAAAACAGAGCCCAGGAAGATAGGACAGGAGGTAAGATCCTTGTCTTTCATGTGTCCCTCTACCAAGGTTAATGCTATGTTTTGTAACTTGTGAGTTGGTTGACTTCGAATAATATTTACTCCTGAGCATCTGTTTTCTCAACTTAATCCTCAGTTGCCCTTAGTTTCTAGTACCCCAAAAGCAGGGTCCCAAAGAGTGACTGGATGGACCCAGGGAAAGCTGTGAGCTACCCTGGCATTGAAATGGGCCCAGCCAAAGCACCACAATACTTAATTAACTATAAGTTAAGATCACGGCCATGGACAAATTCTGTCATCATCCAAAAAGTAACAACTATATTAGGACCCTGCTGGGGTTAAGAAAGACTAATCTGGCCTGAGCACTGTAGTCTGAGATCTACAGCGATCCATCCAGGACAGCCATCCTATAAGCTTAACGTATCTCTTACTGTGTCCATACAAAAAAACTAATATTAAGAAGTACAATTAACATGTAAATTAAGTTACTGGAATAAGGAAAGGAGAAAAAACCCTAAGTGGCATTTTGCCCTTGAGCTGATCCCCTGGCTGCAGGGTCAGGAAGGGCTTTCATATATTGATTGTGCCAAGGAACCTGAGTGTTGTTGCTACCCCCAATGCTGGCAGGTTGGGAGAGCCTGGAGAGAGACCAAGGTGGAGAGTTCGAGTGCAAAGAGATGAGCGGAGGTAGGCAGGAGGAGATGGGAATGAGGGCCTTAGTGAGATTGGAACAGGCATGTGGGGAAAATGGAATACATGGCAACTGATGACCAACCAACCTAGCCCTCATTTCCTCTTTCATCTGCCATGGCATCAACTGTCCCGGGTGGGGAAGCAGCAAGAGACCACCTAACACAGGCAGCAAGAGAGATCCGCAGGATTCCTAGTCATTTGAAGATTACACAGATTATATTAGAGCATTTTTTTATTTTTAAAATATATTAATTTATTTTAACATCAGTTTATATGACTGAATGTATTTAATTTTATTTTTTAAATTTTTATTAGTGAAACACCATAAGGTACAGATGTAGACTTACAAACTTTTGTGCTTCGGTTTCAGTTATACAATGATCGCATACCCATCCCTCCACCAGTGCCCATTCTCCACCACAAATGATCCCACTATCACTCCCAACCCTCCCATCCCCCACATCCCACCCCACGTCTGTGCAGGGCATTCCCTTTTGTTCTCTCTCTCCTTTTGGGTGCTGTGGTTTGCAAAAGAGGCATTGAGTGGCAATCATGTTCGGTCTATAGTCTACTTTCAGCATGCAATTCCCATCCGGGGAGGATCCTCCCAACACCCTTTATTTGGTGCTCCCTACTCCTGGGTGTTAGTCTCCGATTTTGTTACCTTATGTTACCCAGATGGATGCAATCTTTCTATGTCTGTCCCTTTCTTTCTGATTAATTTCGCTAAGCATGATACTTTCCATGTAGTACCACTTGTATGTAAATTTCATGACTTCATCCTTTCTGACAGCTACATAGTATTCCATTGTGTAGATGTACCAAAGTTTCTTTAAGCAGTCATCTGTTCTCTGGCACTCAGGTTTTTTCCAGATTCTGGCTATTGTAAAGAGTGCTGCAATAAATATACTTTTTTTGCCTCTCTGGGATATATACCCAGGAGTGGCATTGCTGGGTCAAATGGGAGCTCAATTCCTAATTTTTTGAGAATCGTCCATACAGTTTTCCAAAAGGGCTGAACCAATTGGCATTCCCACCAGCAATGAAGGAAGGTCCCTTTCTTGTCACATCCGTGCCAACACTGGTTGCTTTTGTTCTTTTGGATGTGGGCCAGTCTCTGTGGTGTGAAATGATATCTCATTGTTGTTTTGATCTGCATCTCCCTTATGATTAATGATGTAGAGCATTTTCTCATGTGCCTTTTAGCCATTCAGATTTCTTCTTTGATAAAGTTTCTGTTCATTTCGTCTTCCCATTTTTGATGGGGTTGGAAGTTTTCTTCTTGTGGAGTTCAACCAGTACTTTGTATATCCTTGATATCAATCCCTTGTCAGATGGGTATTGGGTGACTATCCTTTCCCATTCTGTAGACTGTGTTTGTATTTTGGTCACTGTTTCTTTCGAGGTGAAGAAGCTTCTTAGTTTAAGATAGTCCCATTTGTCTATCTCTGTTTTCACTTGCTTGTTGGTATGATGGATTATGTTGATTGATTTCCGAATGTTAAACCATCCTTGCATCCCCGGGATGAATCCCACTTGGTCATGGTGTGTGATCGTTTTGATGAGTTCTTGAATTCTATTTGCTAGTATTAGGGATGGATACTCGATCATCGTATAACTGAAACCCAAGCACAAAAATTTGTAAGTCTACAACTTTATCTCCTGGTGTTTCACTCATAATTTTTTTTAATGTAGCACTGTCCTTCCATTGTTCATTGATTTGCTCAAGTGTGCACCAGTAACATCTCACAACAAATTGTGAGACTTGTTGCTATTGTTTTTTGGTATTGAATACGTCACGGGGGGCTTGCCAGGCTTTGCCTGGCACAGCAGGTAGGGCGTTAGCCATGCACACGGCCTACCTGGCTAACCCGATTTCGATTCCTTTGTCCCTCTTGGAGAGCCAGGCAAGCTACTGAGAGTACCTCGCCCGCATGGCAGAGCCTGGCAAGCTCCCTGTGGTGTATTTGATATGCGAAACACAGTAACAAGTCTCACAATGTTACTGGGCCCACTTGAGCAAATCAGTGAACAATGGGAGGGTAGTACTACAGTGCTATTTTCCTATGATTTGTAGTTTTACACTTTACATTTGTGCCTTTTACAAATTTGTATTAATAATCATATAAATGTGACTTATCTTAGATAGCTAATTTACCTAGAACTATTTATGGAAAAGGCTATTACTCCACTAAATTTCATTACATGCAAGAGACCAATATTTCATCAACAGCACTTCATAGAATTCCTTCGTGATTGTGAGCAAGTAGTGGGCTCTAAGCACTGCCAGGTGTGGTCCAGAAACTAAAAATTAAAAAAAAAACAGAAAAAGAAGAAAGTAAAATTGTAATTTTGCATAGATAAACAGATAGCAGTAAAATTTCAGACATTCTTATTTTCTTATGAGCAAATCAATCAAAACTGAATCAAACCTTAGCAAATTTTAACTCATTCCATTTCATTATTTCATCTCAGAGTTATCATAATAAACTTTTATAAATTAAAGAAGAGTCTCCTGCCTCTGCACCTGGCTGTTCTCATGGGGGCCCCTTGGAGGCGAGTGGGTTGGGTTTCCCTCCCCACCCCAAGCAGAGCCACGGCAGCTGAAGACCTCCGGTTCCAGCCACAGCCATGCTTAAGACCACTCTCCACACATTCGGACAAGCCTCACGCATGAAGGAACCATCCAAGGAACCCAGGCGTGCGGGACCCAGGGCATAGATCTCCAAGCCTGCTCGGATTGGGACTGGAGCCTCCTCCACCCAGATCCCCCATTACCAGTATGTAGGCGTTAACACCTACCAACTGCCCCCAGCACCGTGTAATCCCATGAATGGCCAAGACCCAGAAACTATAAAACCCAGCTCCCGGACATCTTATCATCTAGTTCTTACTCTGGAGGACCTGGCAGGCTACCAAAAGTATCCTGCCCACACGGCAGAGCCTGGCAAACTCTCCCTGGTGTACTCAATATGCAAAAATACCAATAACAATGATGAGCCTCATTCTCCTGACCCTGAAAGAGCCTAGAATGTGGCACTTTTTAAAATCTCAGGGCTAGGACAAAGGAGACATTACTGGGGCCTGCTCAAGGCAATCGATGAACAACAGGATGACAGTGAAACAGTGATACAGTGATAAACTAAAGAAGATAAAAATACCTTTCAAAAAGTCTATTGCTTTTTATAACTATTAAGCCTTTTTCTCTGTCTTATATTCTGAAATAATCAGACACTTTAAAACCTCTTTCGGAGGTGGCTGGCAAGCGGGTGCAAATCGGGTGTAGACCGTGCACCCCCAGCCCCAGGATGGTGCAGGCCTGGTACATGGACAAGTCCGCGGACGACCTGCGGCTGCTGCACCGCGCGGAGCCCAGCCGGCCTGTGGACCTGGAGCAGCTGCGCCAACTCGAGGTCCTGTACTGGAAGCTGGATGCTGACAAGTAGGAGAATGATCCAGAATTAGAAAATATCCGGAAAGAGAGACACTATTCTTGGATGGACATAATAACCATATGCAAAGATAAACTACCAAATTATGAAGAAAAGATTAAGATGTTTTACGAGGAGCACTTACACTTGGACAAAGAGATTCGCTACATCTTGGACGGCAGTGGGTACTTTGATGTAAGAGATAAGGAGGACAAATGGATCCGGATTTTCATGGAGAAAGGAGACATGATAACTCTTCCTGCGGGGATTTATCACCGTTTCACCGTGGACGAAAAGAACTACGTGAAGGCCATGCGGCTGTTTGTGGGAGAACCTGTGTGGACGGCATACAACCGGCCAGCTGACCATTTCGAGGCTCGGGGCCAGTATGTGGAATTTTTGGCACAGACAGCATAGCGGTGCTCCATCAGTGGTGCTCCCACAAACCCCTTAATCCCTGAAGAAGGTCCTGATATGTTAACTGTTGAAAAAAAAAATCTAACATTTTCTTCTGGCTTTTATACGATAGACTTGTAGCTAGGTGAGGTTAATGCAAAAAGCTGTTATACCATTTTTAACATGGAAGCAACCGTTGAAACATAGACAAATTATGTTCATTTTCGGTCATGAAATATGCTCATCCATGGATGGACGTGGAGAGTATTCTGAGTGAAATCAGTCAATGGGAGAGTGACAGACATAGAATGATTGTACTCATTTGTAGGATGAAAAAAATAAACAACCCCACAGTATGTGAATAATACCCAAAGACAGTAGAAACAAGGGCCAGGAGGACTGGCCTATGGTAGGAAATCTTGTAACAAATGGGGAGGGGGAGTGCAGTTTAAACAGAGAAGGGACCACTATGACAATCTGCAGTCAAATGCTCTACCCCTGAGCTATACCCTCACTATGATAATGATAATTGGAAATTATCATTCTGGGCAAGATCTGAGTGCTGAAAGGAGGTAAAGTGATATGCACAGTACTCTTTTAGTAACAGTATCACAAACCACAGTTCCTAAAATGAAAATAAAGAGAGAGAAAAAAGAAAATCTGCCATAGATGCAGACTGCGGGGCCATGGCAGGGGGGAGGCAGGAGGTGGGTGGGTGGGTGGGTGGGTGGGTGGGAGGAAAACTGGGACATTGGAGGTGGGAAATGTACACCAATGAACATTGTATGACTGAAATCTAATCACAAACAACTTTGTAACTGTATATCTCATGGTGATTCAATAAATAAAAAGAAAAAAGAGAAAAGAAAAAACCTTTTTGTTTATTAAAAATATTATAGTTTAGATAACATGGTTACAATAGTGTGAGTGTTTATTTTTTAATTATTTGTTTAATTTTATGAAGTTGTTCATGATTTATTACATTCAATATTCCAACCAATACCATCCCCATTGCACCTTCCCACCACTGTTGTTTCCATTTTCCCAACCACCCCTCAAACCTGCCCCTATAGCAGGACCAAAAATTTTATTTTATATTGCTTGTTATAATTTGCTAAAAATGACAAAATAATTTCCTTAGAAGAAAATGTGTGAATATTGTATCTCACCATGGAGCTAATAAGCCCTTATAGAAGAGATTACTAACATGTTGTTACAGGTTAGGTAGGCCTTGTGTGCTTATATTTTCTTAACCGAGATTGGTTTTCTTCTACTTTACATCCCATCCAATATGGTATGCTACTCCTGGTTTATCAGTGGTGTAGAATTTGAGATAGATAGTTTGAGATAGTTTGAGGCAGAACTCCAGGAATTCCCAATACAATGGATTCATCTGGTAGAGCTCAGGGCTGACTCTTGGCTCTGTGGTCAGAATACACCCCAGGTGGTGAGTGGATTCGGGGACTATATGTGGTGCCAGGGACTGAACCAGGGCTATCCACAAGCAAGAAAATGCCTTACACGGTATACTATCTCTTAAGTCCTGATTACTTTGGTTAGCCTATGTGCTTCATTTATGTAAGGATCTTGAAATTTATACTCAAGCTACAATACATGATTTTAGCCAATTTTAAAAGTTTGTCAGAGTAATTATGAAGTGTAGAAGTCAAATCTATATTTTTCACATGAAAACATTTCATTTCTTTTATTGAGTCACCGTGAGACGCAGTTATAAACTTTCAAGTTTCAGTCATACAATGATCGAGCACCCATCAGTCAACCAGTGTGCATCTTCCACCATCAATGTTCCTAGTATCCGTCCTGCCACCTTCACGCCATCCCACCCCCTGCCTCTATGGCAGGCACATTCCTTCTTACTATTTCTCTACTTTGGGGCATTATGTTTTTCAATACAGATACTAAGAGGCCATCCTTAGTCTACTTTCAGCACACATCTCCCATTCCAAGCAATCCCTCCAACCATCATTTATTTATTGGTCCCTTCTCCATATCAACTGCCTTTTCCCCCAGTACATGAGGCCAGTTTCCAAACCGTGGAGCGATCCTTCTGGCCCTTATCTCTATGGTCGGAGAGCCCGGCAAGCTACCGAGAGTATTCATATGCCAGACACAGTAACAACAAAGTCTCCAATGGAGACGTTACTGGGCCCACTCGAGCAAATCGACGATCAACGGGAGGGCCTTTACCTTTACCTTTTATGTTCCACAAATGAGTGCAGTCATTCTCTATCTGTCCCTATCTTTCTGACTAATTTCACTTAGCATGATACTCTCCATGTCCACCCACTTATATGCAAATTTCATGATTTCATCTTTTCTAAAAGCTGAATACTATTACATTGTGTAGTTGAAGCAAAGATATGAAAACATTTTTGACCTGAAAAATTTTTACCTGAAAGTGTTGCAGGTATTATGTTATCTGATAAGTAAGCCAAAACAATACGTTTAAGAGTTTCATATTAAGTAGTCTTTTCATAGAAGACAAAATTTATATTTTTCTTTGTATATTATATGGATTTGTTTATAAAAATGCAACATGAATCTGTTTTTATTTTTTTTTTGAAATTTGAACTTCCTGTGTCTGAGTATCTATCTCTTTCCTCAGTTTTGGGAAGTTCTCAGTTATTATTTCAACTAAAAATTTTGCTACTTTCTCTCTTCTGGACCTCCTGTGATAAACATGTTTTTCTTGATTATGTTCAATGAAACTTATGCTATATTCAATTTTTGTAAAGAAAAATAGTTTTTATTAAAAGAAATTTAGAGAGAGTAATGTGAAGGGAGAGAAAGAGAAATGCACGTTCATGAGAAAAAAATGGTCTCTTTCAGAGTGGAAAAAGCCCAATGAAAGAAAGAAATACATGTTTAAGAGAGAACTTGGGCTTCTCCCAAGTGGAAAAAAAAGCCTGTTATCTTCATTTAATATATTTGGTTATTTATTTTGGTCTTATTGGTCACATCTGGAGATGCTCAGGGGTTGCTCCAGACTCTGCACTCAAGAATCACTCCTGGCAGTGCTCTTTACCGTATGGGATTCCCGGGATAGAACCTAAGTCAGCCAAGTACAAGACAAATGCCCAACCCTCTGTCCATCGCTACGGCCCCTACCATCATTTTAAACATTATTGTTTTTTTTCTGTACTTTTGATGATTTACTCTACTTTGACTTTGAACGCACACATTTGAACTTCATCTCCTGCCATTCTGCAGTTGACACCTTCTACGGTGTATTTTTAGTTCAACAACAGTATTCCTTAGCTTAATGATTTATGTTTAAAATTTTTCTCATACTTTTTCTGCCATTGTTGGAATTCTTTCTCACTGACTTCTTCATTTTAATGAGTATCGTTAGTATTATTGCTTTAAATTTTTACTACCCCATTTATATTGAGGTACAGTGATTTACAACACTGTTACTGACAGTTTGAACACGCATCATTCCAACACCACACCCACCATAAGAGTTCAGCTTCCCTTCCAAGAATTCCTCTTATCCCTCCACCTATATAAGCTCAATTCTGTAGATCAAGTCTCCAATTCTGAGACCTTGGCCATTTGTTGTTACTTAACTTTGTTTCTTTATATGATACATATGTGAGATATCATTTTGTATCTATCCCTCTCCTTTTGACTGACTTTACTCTGTGTGATAGTCTTTAATTCCATCCCAAGAGGCTTATAACGCTTTATTTTGATGGTGGTTCTTCCCATTTTTCCCTTTTTCCAGAAGTGAAGGCGAAATCTACATTTTTTTTCATTATTTGGGATAGGAAGGATAGGAGTGTGGGTCTAACATTCATTTAGATCTAGGCAGTTTAGACCTAGGGTCTAAGCTCAGACCAAGCTTAGATTTATCTATACAAATTCCATACAGTAACTGTGGCTCTGAGTTTTTGTCGAATGGGCAACTGTCATAAATGTCCTGCAGCAGCTCTAAGACCAAGGTCTAGATTGGCCGGACTATGACTTGTGGTTATTAGTTGATGATGCCTGGTAGTGATTGCTGTATTAAAGTCCAGTGGACCTGAGATGCATTTTAAGGTCATAGTTTCAAGTCCCAACTAGCAGCTGTAGCACTGAGCTGAACTTCATAACTACCTTGAGATTTGCATTTGCCTGCACCTGGCAGCAACTGTAGTGCCAAGGTCAAGTGATTCTAGGTAGCGTCTTATGTTGTGAAATTACAGTTGTTTGTAAAAGCTTGTGTCACCAGTTTGAGTTGGTCTAGGCTGAAGCAAATGTTTAAAAATAATATATATTTGAGAAACACATATATATGGGGAGCTTATAGCTTCAGTTTTACTACTTCTGTTGCAAATCAACATTACATAAACACAAATTTCATGTCTATACACAAAAATCAGTTACTCATAGTGGACACATAATTATTTTATTTTATTATTTTAACCTCCCAGTGTTAACCAGGACCACTTTTGGCAATTCAGAGACTGGCAGTGCTTTTTCAATAATTAGATGCTCAGCCCTGGTAATGCAGAGACACTAAGGCTGGTGATGCTAGGGGTTAATAAGGCCATGGCAATGCTTGATGCTTGAGGATTATGTTCAGAGTACCATATGGTGTTGATCAAATTGGAGACCTCACACATGTCAGTCATGCACTCCATCCCTTTGAACTATCTCTCTGTCCTCTGGGCAAAAATGCTTTTTATTATTGTTTTTTGTGGCTAAACCCAGTGGTACTCAGGGTTAAATCCTGAGTGCTCAGAGATCCCTCTGGGAGGGGTGCTCAGAGATCACTCTGGGAGGGGTTTGGGCCATTATGGATTTTGACCATTATGGGGTCTATTCTGGGTCAGCAGCACACAAGACAAGGATCCACCTTCTCTACTATTGCTTCAACCCCAAGGGCTCAAAATTGTTAATTGATTTGATTTCACAAATAGGCTAAAAACCTCAAACAATATCTTTGTTTCCATCAAATATAGAATAGTTGCTTATCATGCATGCAAAAATACTACCCAAAGTTCAGAAAATATAAGATATTTTATAAGAAAATATAAACAATTACTGGTAATTACTATGATAAAGAGATAATAACCATTTTTGTTTTGTGTAATTAAAAATGAAAGCACAAAACTTAGTAGAGAGGATAAAACATATGAGATCAATAAGCAAAGTTCAAATTGTATTGTTGTTTGGGATTCAACCTGACAGCCAAGAAAATTGTGAATAAATTTAAACAGATTAAGTTAAATAACACAAGCAAATATGTATCTAAAACCAGGTTGGCAACTTTGACCTCAACCCTTGCAACAGGGGTCTGTTGCAAAGAATGAAACAAATATATACATAAGTGAAAGGTCTGTGACAGGGTTGTGGAAACAAAGAAACAAGAAGCCAAGAGGAGAACTAGGC